TATGCGCTTGGTGTTTGTTTTGTTGATGAGGATATTTATGTGAAAGACTTACTAGGTATCCTGAGAAAGGGCGAACGAGGTTGGTACATAGGAAACCCTACCGTGAATGTTACCTCAGTCAGACGGAACTAAAAAGTTCCATATCGAAAGAGTTTGAGAGATATAGTTCACCATCATATTAGACGGGTATTAAGGTGATAGAATATTTGATACCCATTACCAAATAGAGTATTGGGACGGCCGGTTAATTTATAAATTTGGGTATTTGATTCATGCATAAGAGGGCATCCTTATGGACCCTCAGAGGCACCAGTAAGTAGATAAGAAAGGAAAATTGTTGTTTCTTATTCACTGTGCATGAAATTGAATAGTTATATGGATATTGATTTTCATAAATTGATTTCTAGAAAACTCATAACGGTAAGTATGGAATAAACAGTTTTCTTCATAATAAATGAATTTACTTAAATTAAGGGTTTCATTTGTTGTTTTGTGATTTTTACCAACTTTTTTTTCCGTATTAATTATTAACGTGATATTCTTACTAGGTTAGTGTAGCTCACCCTTCTACTAATTACTTCAGATCAAGAGGACCAGGATCTAGATCCCGATCAACAAGAAGACTGTGAGTAGTTAACCTATCGGACCCCTTCAAGAGCTAATGAAGGTTACCCCTAAGGTATTTATCTATTTGTTTTAAATTATTTATTTATTTATTTTTACGAGCTACTGTAGTAGAAATATTCTTATAACCTTATTGGGTATCCTAATTTATTGTGTAAGGAATATAAACCATAATATTATTATTCGCTTCCATATTTAAATTATAAATTCACTTCTTTTAAGTTCTGGGTCTTTAAATTATTTTTATATATCGGTTGTTATTCATATTATTTTTGTATAGTCAAATTATTTTTATAATTTTTTGTATATTTTTATTATACAAATTATTTTTATATGAATTTTTATATTATTCTTATTATTTTTTTTTGTTAATTTAGGACAAATATGAAATTAAAAAAGACGATGAGGGTATAGATGGAAGTAAAAAAATTTATCCCTAAAAAACTATCGATTCGATGGTTTGCAAAACTAGAGAAAATGGTGGTTTGGAGAACTATAAGAACAATAAAAAAATCATACTGTGTGTTTGAAAGTGATCTAAACAAAGCAAAACAATCTCGGTACCATATCATATATTAATAAACTACATCCAACAAGCCCTTATAGAGAATGTAATGGCCGAAAGGAGAGAGAAGAAGAGAGGATTGATCGTGAGACAGAGAGAAAAGAGATAAAGAGTGTGAGATCGGGAAGATGGAGATTTTTCAGGGAGACCGAGTTTTACCTCTGACACTCGCGACTGTGTTGCGACATGAGGTAGCCTCTTTCGGTATTTAGTCACCTTTTGCTCCCTAAATCCAAACTTTATCTCAGA